ATTTACCACAAGCCGAAATTTGCAAATTTGTCCTCATCCAAACATCGAGGTCAACTCTGTGCTACCTGCACTCCTCATCCACATTTCCTAAAAGCAGTATCGTTGTGACGGATAACTTTGTCAGATGACCTCAGTGTAACTGTGTAACTTCTTACTGTGCTGTTGCGCATTAAAACGTTTGTGTGTTGGCTGTGGCAATGAGGCTTTTTTGGTCAACCCAAGGATGTATCTCTCTCTACCTCCCACCTGGCAAGGAAGTGATAGGTGGGGAGTGTTCTGACATTACTCACCGTCATCAGGAGGTATACTCATCAAACTTCGCCCCGGAATGTTTTAGAGCTCTGTTTGACAGAGAAGCCCGCCTGAAATACGTGAAGAGGGGCATTAGATGCATTAAATGCAAGGGGCTTATTTGTTAGAGACCTGCTCTTTCAGGTACCTGTGAGACAATGAATTTGTGCTACATTTGGTCCTTACCCAGCCTCCTAGTTTAGTTCTAACTAGTCTAGTTCTGTGATCACAGGCAGAGGCTCGTATGCTCAGAAGAAACTACTTTGTATGACGTGTCATCCAGTCACGTCTGAGGGCAGAAATGATTACAGCTGCTCTGAACAGCCACAGTCAGAGTTGGGGTGAAAAGCCTGCCGTCACGGAGTGAGACTTGATAATCGTTCAAATGGGGGATAATGGCTTGCACTTTCAGGCAATCTTTTCTTGAAGGCATTCATGTCGTTGCACTTGTTTGTACACACAGAAAATGATTATTTAGTTGTGTGAAGCATCAAAAAAACCAATCGTCATGTGAAGTTGGTGTGAGCTAACCCCAAAAACTTTATTAATTAACTTTTTTAACCGAATTTATAACATATGAGAGGGTTCTGAGAGTGATCAGAGAACTGCTGTTATAGAATATAACTGACATCTCTCGCTCCTTCTCTTAGAGGTCTGTCGTGATCGATAATAACAGCTTAACCTCCCCACTTTGTGATCTCATCACCTCAATCTCTGCTAATAACAATTTACCACATAATTAATTCTCTTGTGTCCTCATACTATTAACATAGCTGGCACGTGTGCGGAAACATTTCTCCATCTCACAGGCGAGACCTTTCTCGATCATTATAAAGATAAGATAAACAAACAACTCAGCCATGCTCATCCCCCTCCCACCTCTCTGCTTTCTTAGGACCATCGTCAGTGATCAGTAACGATGATGACTCAGCTTCTCCTCTTCACCACGTCTCCAATGGCAGCAACACTCCTTCGTCCTCAGAGATGGGCCCAGACGCCGTAATCATCGGCATGACCAAGATCCCAGTGATAGAAAACCCTCAGTACTTCAGGAGCACAAACAGTCTGCTGAAAACGGACACGTGTAAGTAATAAAAATCTACCAATGTGTACCCAACTGAACTATGCTAAAAATAAACAAAACATTTATCAATCAGTTGTGAACTGTCCTCCCAAATATTCAGGTTAACTGTATGTGCAATATACACAAGGGTTACCATGGTAACATCTTTCCTTGCTGTCATGGCAATAACCTTGGAGCTTCCAATTCAGAGGGAGAAACAGAAAGTCCGTTTATATGCAAGTGTGTGTGTCTTTTTCTGTGTGTGTGTTTGTGTGCGTGTGTGTGCGTGTGTGCGTGTGCGTGCCCCAGCATATGTTAGGCACAAATCCATTCATAAATTCAGGACTTTCATCCGTGACTCAGGCACACATATATATTCCCAGAGCCGCAGGAAGCAAAACATGCACAACTCCAACTGCACAACATATATGTACACACAACAAATTCACGAAGCAAGAGAGACAGAAGTGCAAAGAGAAGGCAGTCAAAGAAAAGCAGGGAGGAGACAGAGACAAACAGAAGTAGGAGAAAAGAGAAACGTGAGGAAAACGGAGTGAGATAGCGAGAGTGAGCAACAGTCAAATAGACAGACAGAGAGCACACAAGGTTATTGACCTGGTCCATCAACATGACATTATGATTATTGGCAAGTAATAAAAGCTTCTCCAAGCTTTGGCCTTGTGTTGCAGTAAATTATGGAACTGCATGTGTGTGTATGTGCGTGCGCCATCAGGCTCTTTTTGCTGAGGGCAAGGTTGAGGAGGTATAATAATGGGGGATTGGGAGTTGACCTCTTCAGTCCTGCGATATAACTAAAAGATAGACCGGGATTTACAGCCCAAAGACGAGAATGAAAGCGCGGAGAATCAATGAAAGTCAATAAGGGACTGCTGTGTATGTGTATGAGCCTACGTGTGTGTTTTTAATATATTACAGCCATTACAACTATTACTCTGCGTGCTTCTTTGACTCACAGACAGGCCGCATAAATACTGAAAGTAACTGACAGATTATTTGGCACTCTGCCTTTTCAGACCGTATAATAGCTTTTGATGGAGACAGTTTTGGCAGAGTGACGTTAGGTTGCATGCCAGGAAGTGAACTCTTTTTAAACAGCGATCTTAACCAGCTTGTGGCCTGTAATATTCAATGCAGGAATCAGTAGCAGTTACACGTTTCTACTTAAAAGATGGCACAGACCTCTTCCTGGCAGCAATAAAGCAACAATTACTCTGCAGAGATGAAGGAGCAGCGTGTAATTATGGGAACTGTTAGCTGTGTTGCAAAGCTTCAGTTGTGCAGCTCACCTCTGAAGTGAACACCTCATTAACAATAATAACATCAGAGGACTTAGCGTTGCTGGAAAACATGTCACATGCATTATTAAAGAGTTACAGTAAATGCATAGGTGGCAACTACTGTGTTTATGTTTCCCTAATCCCTCATACACATACACAGGCTGTGTGCGTTTTGCAAGCAGCTGAAGCCAGGGCATGGCCAGGATTTCAGAAATACTGAGATTATGTGCCCATATCCCACAAACAGACCCACCCAGAAACCAAGAGAAGTCTCTATTTTTTTAATAATTTGGATTTCTATGTTTTATTTATTGAGTTATCAGTTTACATATTTTTTAAATGGAGAATTGCTTTGGGGACACACATTTTATTTCCCAAATTATAGAATTTAAATGCTGAAATGGAATGTGTTTATTATTTTGTTGCCCTGAAAGGAATATTTTGACATTCTGGAAATATGCAATTTTGACAAAAAGATTGACACCAAACTCACGTCTGCTTGGAAAATCTTCGGATCTTCCAATCATATTTACCGAACATGACATGACATGGGCGCTTTATCAATCCTTTCATCTAACGATGGCATGAAAATGAATGTTAATATTCGGCAAAACTGTCAAACTATTCCTTAAGGAGTCAAATTTAAGTCTCAAAATCATAGAATTAGTTTAAAAAATACCAAGAAAGTGTCAGGACTCAACCTCAATGTTCTCTGCTGCCCTGAACTGAAGGAGAGATTTTTCTCTCTCTGTTATGTTACACCTTGCTCTTGCCTTTGTCAACAGTATCTCTCACTTTTTCCACTGTTTCCATCCCAGCATGTATTTTATTGTATCTAGGGAGTGAGGATTAACAATGTTCTGGAAAATGTTTTTCATGAGTCTACACTTGCATACAGTATTTGAAAACACCCATTTATACAGACATGCTGACACACACACACACACACACACACACACACACACACACACACACACACACACACACACACACACATATGCATATGCATACACACACACACACACACACACACACACATGTACACTGAGCTTATGAAAATAGGTCACAATTAGCTACACCTTCTGATAGGAGTGTTTATTGTTGGGAGTAGTGGCTGAGTAGAAGGAGGTGTAGTGGAAAAGGTCTCTGCTGGTTCTGCTTTCAAAGCATCTGTCAAACATGATTGTGTATTTGAACTGTCACCGTGTTCACTTCAAACTACCAAATGCACAATTTCCGAGTTGTTCAAGCTGTCTTATGTCAGCAGGGTCATGGAAAGATTTTGGGCAGATGAGAGAAGGAGGAAGAGAAGAAGAGGCAGATGGCAAATGGGGAATAATTATGTCCCGAGACATTAATTTCTTTGGTTGTTAATAAGATGCTGATTAAGGGGAATAGGTGTGAGAGGTGGCTCTATAGGGAGACATGGAGAGATCGTATGATGTGGCAGAAGGACGGATGGAAAAAGACGACAGAGGAGGTGGTTGATTAGAAATATTATTCCTCTTGATGTTAATGTTGTAAGCGCTGTCATAAACAGGTGATGGAGAAAGACTGATGGAGCCACAGAATGGGGGGAAGAACGTGCCTGGATGTGAACGTTTAGAGGATGTTGATTAAAAAGTGATAGGTTTAGCAGCTGAGGCGAATGGCAGTAGGGAGAAATAAATGATGGAACAGAGACATGCTAAATATGGAAAGTGAGAATAAGATAATGAGGCTGGATAGATGGATGCTAAATGAGGGAAAATGAGCGAATACGATAAGCATGGAAAACGGGTACTAATTAAGAAAAATATCAGAGAATAAGAGTGCAACGTTTGGTAAATGGGGAATAATATTTCCGTAGATCTTAATTAAGGATACTGATTGAGGAGAAGAGGGGTGATGTTTTGCGTGGCAGAGATACAGTTTAATAATGAAAACAGGGTGGAAGAAGGAGTGTAAAATTGGCAGAGGCAGACAGCTGGAAAGCAGAATTCATGAGTGATATAACACCATAAAAAATAAAATAACTTAATTTAGAAAGTTTTTGATTGCTCTGTCCAATAATTATGTAAAATTCTTGAACGTATGAATACAACATTAGTTGCAATGACACGGTATAAATCTAACAATATTTTTGTTCGATTTTTAAAAAATGGCATGACATGCTGTGAGCCAACGCCAAATCTTCCTGCCAAAAAAAAAAAAAAAAAAAGAGCAATAGAGGAGGCACTGGTCTGCACACATCAATTTATTTGCTATTTGAGGGCGTTAATTAAGGAGAAGTGGTGCGAGGCGTTTTCATGGGTGAACGCTTATTACACAACCGCGGTAGGAAATGGTGCGGTGAGGTAATTAGCTGGTTAAATGGTGGGTAGTTGTCTTGTGGGGATGTGGGTTTATTGTGTGCTGTTGCTGCACAGGGAATTGTGGGTGTTCTGTGACCTGCCTCCGTTGTTTTTTAACTGACGACTTAATGTCATGTGCAATATATCATCTATGTAAATTGAGACTTTTAACCACACTGATACATCTAGATACTGTTTTCAACCTGTTGCCTTTAGACATTGTGTTTATATACAACTCATATGCAACAGCAAAAGGAACATGACTTGAATTATGTTTTTATCAACATCATGAGGAAACGTTTTAATGAATGAAGTTGCCAAATCTTAAAATGTTCATGAACCGAACATACAGTATATGCAAATAGTTGTTGCAAATAACTGCTAACTGCAACTAAAGCTTGTTGTGTAGGCACTCGAGATCTTCAGGAAAGATTATCATCTGGGCTAAATATCAAAAAATATAACTGTGACCTGAAGCAGTTTATTAACATTTAACCATTTAGCCTTTCCTCAACCTTGACCCAAAATGCTTTTGTTAGCTAACCCACGCAACACAAGAAAGCAAACTCTGATATTTCGTGTCAAAGCCTGGTCCTTTGTAAACGTAACAATAACATTCTTGAAAACCTCCTCTGCACGACGTTTATTTGCAACATAAATGTAGCATTAGCATTTCCCAAAATGTATTCGTAAAATAAATTAGTAATATGTAGGCATCATTTCTAGGATAGGAAACAGGTTTGAGATACTGTATACTGTACATGTTCAAAGCCTTCAGAGGCGCACAAGCAGACACACACACACACACACACACACACACACACACACACACACATTGCATGGTGGGTGTGTTCTCATCCAGCACAATCTTACACTGAAAATTAGGTGCTTTTGGATATCTGATGTAGGCCAGCAATTCTTATCTCTCTCTGTCTCTCTCTCTCTCTCTCTCTCTCTCTCTCTGTTCAATATTGGGTTATGGTGGACCTCAGTAGCTTACAGTGTAGATCGATGCAGCTTCTGAGAGTCTAGCTTGGCTTTAATGTGATATTCTGAGTGGACAGCTTTTCTTCAAATGCACCTCTTAATCACATCACAGATAAATCTCAGCTCTTGGTGTCCTCTGTGTGTGTGTGTGTGTGTGTGTGTGTGTGTGTGTGTGTGTGTGTGTGTGTGTCTGTGTGTGTGTGTGTGTGTGTGTGTTCTAGAGGTACCCAAGTGCGTGTTTTATAGGATAATGTGTGTCTCCTTGCATGCAGACAGTTGCAGAACATCTGGCGCACAGTCAGAGAGACAGGGTTTAGCTTGGTTATAGTGAGGGTACCACGCTGTTAATCATTCTGTAGAATAAAACCTTGTATCATCACCATGGTGAGATGCCAAATTTTCTAAAAAATCAGCTGGCATGGAGTCACGAGTTACTTAGCAACAGAGAGCAGGTTCATCGACTCTGATCCAACTGTGGGTGAGCAGGAGGCAGGAAAAGATGACGTTCATGAAACAGACAAAGAGACACATTTTTAAAATTGACATTACAGTAGAAACTGGATCAAATTAGTGTACAACAAAACAGCAAATTCAATTACTTACTGTAAAATTCATTTCATGTATAAATGATACCATGAAATATTTCTATAAACACGGAAAATATCCTCAGACACACAATTAAATAATGATCTTCCCTCTGCCAATTTTACTTGGGTAATAAAATAAAATTGGCAGACGGGGAAATATGCCCTCAAGAGTGTGTGGATTCTGAGTGACAGAGAAACATTTTAAGAAATGATAAAATATCATACATATTTTTTCCACTTCAGAGTCAGCACACCCTGCAGCTATGTTTGTGTTGAAAAGAGAGAAAAATCTACAGTAACACTTTATAATACAGCCTGCCAAGGTTATTTTGTTGTATGAATAAGGTACTAATGAAATAGTGTCAGGCTCCAACAGATATGTAGATGTAAGTAGTGGTAGTGGAAGAACACAAGACTATGGGGAACAAAGGAGTAACAACTGGGCATTTTAGAGGCAAAAGGACAAATAAATTCAGCTCCAAGTATTTTTGTAAATATTGGGCACCAGGGTACAGGACTGGGTAATAAAATTAAAGTCTAGGAACACTGGTGTGTAGAAGAAAATACAATATAAATTAGTACAATTACACCCACACTGTAGGGATTTATTAATATATCTACCTAACTATATGAGTTGGAATAAGGACAAGGTGAGAAATGGGATTTTATTTTTGAAAGTTTGCTCCTAGCAGTCATGTGGAAAACAAACATACCTTTTACAGCTAGACGGCTTTTATTGAACATTGCCAATCTTGTGTTTCATGAGGAACCTAGTAATTATTATTTCAATTATTTTAATCACATGGTAAGAACCGGCTATGTGGGCCCTGATGTAATGTGTGGCTGTTCTCCCCTTTTTACTCTTTAATTACAAGTAAGAAGAAAAAGGTTGATGACACTATTTTTCACAAACTTCAGTTTTGTCAGCTACTGCTAGGTCATGTGGATAGCCAGGTTTTTACAAAAAATACTTGGTATAATTTATTTCTCTTTTCCTCTAAGATGCACAGTTGTTACTCCTTTGTTCCTCACGGCCTTGTTTTCCTGCACTGTACCTACATTTAAGTATCAGCAGGCACATGTCAGTATTTTATTGGCACCTGATTCATACAACAAAATTACATGTCGAAGTGTGGGCTGTTGTTAAATCACTATAGTAAAATCACACAGATTGACAGGCAAATAAACCACACATGAATTAAACTGATAAAGTTTAATAAATGAGTGAGAGTGAGAGCGGATGACATGCAGCAAAGGGTCGAATTCGAACCCATAGCCGCTGCGGTTAGGATTAAGCCTATGTGGTACGCACTCTACCAGGTGAGCCACCAGGGCGCCCCCTGTGATCTGCTTTTTGATTTTCTTTTCTCTGTCTCTCCTTGTTCAACAGTCGTCCAGCACATTAAGAGACACAACATTGTGCTGAAGAGAGAGCTGGGAGAGGGAGCCTTTGGAAAAGTCTTCCTGGCTGAGTGTTACAACCTCTCGCCTGACCAGGAGAAGATACTGGTGGCTGTGAAGGTAATCTGGAAGTCTAATTGATTTCATTTAATTTTTTTTAAAACTGCAAGTTCCAGAGAAAAACATATTTCAAAAATATACAAACAGTTTTGAGCATCTTTCTGCTGTTCAAATGTTAAAAACCATGTTTATGGTAATAATGCTTATTAAATTCAAATGATGTCTTAGAATAACAAATCACTGCATATTTCATATGATACAGTTAATGCTGAATATGACACAGACATTGTGTAGTCATTGAACTGTGTACTAGTTCTTTTCTTTTTTTTTTTTTGGTTTTAGTAGCCTAATTGTGTTGTTGCTATTATAAAGCAAAGAGTACACGTAGAAGGACAGATAATAAATACCATCCAGTCTGCAATACAAACAAGGTATTCCAATTTTTGAGGAGTCTAGTTTCAGAATGATTGGTGGAACCAAAATGAAACCCATTATGTTATTATTGAAGGTTAGGTAAGTTGTTGCCTTCTCTACAGTATTTTTGCAATGAGATCTGACACCTGAAATACATTTGAAATATTGAACAGTTTACAGGAGATAATGTTATGTTCCTGAAATGTATACATGGCATTTTGAAATGAAATCCTTCATATGGCATCTATATAGTATTTAGACTCTGTGTGCGCCATCGCCTCACCTCCATTTCCTCTGCCATTTTTAGAAAGTCGGTCTATTCAAGAGTTTCTTTGTAAGCAAAAGGTGGAATTACACTCAAACCGCTGACTTCCGGGGTCAAATTGAATGGTTTCTCAGGGAGCATCCTCCCATCGCATCTATCCCATCCACCCATCTCCACATCAAGCATGCTTTCTCTGCTGGTCTGCGGTGAAACAGGATCCGATTGGTGAAGAACTTCTCATTAACAATACATGACCTGCGAGAACCCCAGCCCCCCACCCCACCTCCCCTCACTTCTAACTCCATCCTTCTTAACTCCCCACTTCCTCTGTCTTCCACGCCTCACCTCTGACTCTCTCTCTCACCTGACTTTTTTTTCTCTCTCCTCTGTCTTCATGACACTTCGAGACTTCCTCTCAAATCCTCCACCTTCTTTTCTCTTCCTACACTTCCTGTTTCCTTCCAGCTTAGCTCTAAACCCCTTGCTAGCACACTGATGTTTGCTGCCAGCTTAGCTTCAGCTCAGTCTGTGCACTCTGTAAAATATGCACCTGAAAATCCTGGGAAGCAGAGTTCTTGGTTGTGGAACAAGATACTGTATGTTGCTGACTGCATGTCAAACCTGGTAAGATGTTTTATAAAACAGCACTTCAACTAAAACTGCAGCTGTACATAGACATGATTGTAGATGAATCATTTAATCATTAGAGTCACATCATTGATTTAAGTCTCTGAACTCATTAGATTTTTTTTTTTTCAATTAGCTAATGTACCACCTGCTTACAGAGTGTACAATGCACTGTTCCTGCTCTTTTCGTCCTTGTCTTATTGTCAGTTGGTATGACTCACCACTTCTCTCCCGTTGTCTCTTCCTCCCCCTTGTTGCTGCATCAACAAAGATAAAATGTGATGAAGGCTGCTGGAAACAGATTTTCAAAGAAACAATGACATTTCCACTGATTTGTCTTGTTTAAAGGGCTAGTTCACCCCAAATTACAAAACAAACGGAGAGGGAGTCTTACTTTGGCCAAACGAAGTTCACATGATAAGAGTGAGGTCCCTGGATAATCCATAACAACTGAGACACTGTCACGGGAGATGTTTTAAAACTAGGGACAACTACAAACAAAACTTAGATCATGATCATGGACAGATTATGAGAAAATGGGCCCCCTGGGGACAGACATGTAAAAAGCCCCCAGACTGAAAGAGACAACAAAATGACTACAAACGAATTTTGCAATGTCATTTTGTGTCTCTTTATGGTTGTTTTGTGTTTTTTTTTGCTGTCATTTAGCTCTTTGTGGTTGTTTTGAATCTTATTGCAGTTGTTTTGCATCTCATTTTGGTAATGTTCCATCTCTGTGGTAATTTTTGCATTGCTCTGAGGTCATGTTCTGTCTTTCCTGTCACCTCATACTGAGGCTCTGACCCAGGGGCCCCCTGACCTCTCTGGCCTGTTTGCTGATCCATCCCTTGTTATTGTGTTTGAGTACATGAAACATGGAGGAGTCAACAAGTTGCTGAGGCATTGCTCTCACATGATATCAAAACAGCAGTTGGCATATTGAGAATGCATTTTTCTCCAAAAATGTTGTCATGGAAACAAAGGCTCCTGATGTCAGCTTCTGTAACTCAATGTTTTTTCTCATCAGGCATTTCTTTGAAGTTGGTTCCTGTGGTTTACTGTCCAAAACCAAAACAGCCTGATTGGTCAGATACCACTGTTTGAGAGGCTGTTTGTTTTTTTTTGTTTTTTTGGTGATTTGAATGAATTGACCCTTTTTGTCAGCTCAGCACCAGACTTGTGCTGATGACTGCTGTTGTAGACAGTGTGGACTGAGTACACAAATTAATTCATTAAAGTCAAAATGCTGTGATATACTAGATTGAACAAAAGGATTCCTGGCACTCTTTTGATTATGTAATCTTGTTGAACAGTGATTTGCATTTGCGCTTGTTCACTTTCTGGAAGTTCTCTGAAAATCTGTGCAATATTTTGATGGAACTATGTTAATGATGTACATGAAGCAGCTCCGAGATTTGTCAGTGCACTTAATCATCACGACACCTCTTTCCTCAGTCCAAAACTCAGTCATGCATGCTACATTACAGGAACATGTTCTCCCTTGTACACCACATAACAATAGGCTACACTCACTAATAGAGCTTAATGGTCCTGATTTCAGAGTCGGCTATCAATCAGCCAGTCAGCCATAATACAGGAGCAAGTTTTACTATTACTGTACGTTATACACTGAGCTGCCATCGATCACAGGCACACTTCAACACGTGCAAATACACATTGGCCTATGCATATGCACACACACACATCCATACAAACACACTTACACTCCTGCATGCCATCAATCATGAATACCTTCCACTTTCAATAGAATTGCCTTGCACACATGTAAATGTGAGTCACTAAATTCCCAAGCTAGAGGTTGCTGATTGCTTTTTATTTGTCCAGGGACTTGTATGTGTGCAGACCAGATGACTAAATGTGGAATATTATGGCTTTTTGCCTGGGAATTAATGCAACACTGAGTTCAGAGACTTTCTGGCTCACAGGAACGTCTCTGTTGTTACGTTCCTGAATTCAAAATTAATATGTTTTGCTCAGTACAGTGATTAATGTCTGTGACATTGGTCATTTGAGCAGTTCAGTTAGGCGATTGAACTCAGTGGCGCAATGCATGTCTTTGCCAAGAAATGAAGTTTTTTTTCTCTTTAATCATGTTTTTGTATTCCACATTTCCTTTTACCAGGAGCTCACTGTGTAAGCTACAAACAGTGCATGTATGAGAGGTAGACCATCAATAGACCATCAGTAGACCATCGTCAGTCAAATGTGGATAATATAAAAATGTAGCAATGACCCATGAGCATTTTAGTGCCACTTTTAATATCTCACCCTTTGTAAAGGTGTATAAAGGTGTATAAGTTGTAAATTGCTCCATTAATAGTTGCATTATTCACTAATGTTTCACAGATAAGTTGTAAACCATTATAAGAATGAAGTCTGGGTTGCCAGGTTGTGCCTGATGTTTATCTTCCTCCAGTATGACACTTGCTTTGTCTTTTTACCTTTTTTGTTCAAAAAGAACAACCGTCCACCTCATCATTTAATCTCTTATCTTCTGAAAAAGTGTTTTATTAATGACTTATTAACATTTATTGCAGGTTTTCAGGCTTCTTAGAAAATTTGAAAACTGATAAGGGTGTATTAATGTTTATTCATTTATTAATGTTAATATTACCAATTTTTATAACTTCATGGTCATGAAATCCAAGGTATAAACACCAAGTTTTTCTTTTTAATCGTCATCAGTACATGATTTATTAACCATGAATGAAGCCATTAATTGCAATTTCTAAATAATTTATAAAGGCAGTATGAGTGTTTTTATAATCATTATCACACACAACCTCTGGAGCAGGTTGGTATTTAGTCGCACAAACTGAACCTGAAAGGTCGTACACTCTGAGCATGTGAGAACTCATCATAGGAAAGTCAACCCAGATTTCCCATACACGTCTGTTATCACATTTCAAGCTGAGATCAGTGCATATGCTTTCATACAGTATCTCTACTGTAATAATCCATCATGTCATTATCATGCAGTATCACATTACAGTCTGTAATGTACATGACCGAGCCTCTGTGTCATGATACATGATTGGTTGAAAGTGTGTGGGTGGAGTCACAGTCTGTCTCATTTTCTGGCATCTCAGCATTCTGGATGAAAGATTACGGGTCGTCTCCGTCTTCCTGAGCTTTGTTAGTGACTTCTCCTTGTCCTTTAGACCTACGGTACATCTGTAATAGGAGCTTCTATCCGCATTGTTAGTACACAGACAAACAAACACGCTCACACGCACATACACAAGGTAGAAAAGAAACGTATATCCATGTCACGCACTGTAGGAAGACAATCAATTATTCATGTAGGACAAGAGGAATTTTCTATATTTTTCTTCTTTAGATGTGAAATGAATACAGACCCCATATAACTTTCATTCCCTGCAACTCTCTCTCTCTCTCTCTCTCTCTCTCTCTCTCTCTCTCTCTCTCTCTCTCTCTCTCTCTCTCTCAGTCGTTCACACACTCCTTCTCTGTCTTTGTCACAGATGCTTGTATTACACAACCTGCCTGACAGATTTCCTGATTCATGCAAAGGAGACAAAGATTAGTTTCAAAGGGAAGCAGTGAATATAATGAATGTAAACAGTGCTGGACGTTGTAATGGCTTACATTAATATAAGACGTCTCCATTTTATCCTGCTCTGCTATTGTATCAGTCCTCGCCCAGTGCCAGTAATTTCACACCGTGTGTGCCGAGTTGCTGTAACTCACTTTTACAAGGCAAGACACTTACTTTTTTTTTTTCATAGTGGACATCAGCCAAATAAATTGGAGCAGACTGGGTGCACTGTGAAAATGACTAATTGGCAACAGTGTGCGTGGCATAATGTGTGAGTTTTCATTTGTCAGTTTATTAAAATGTCACTTCTGTGTGTGTGTGTGTGTGTGTGTGTGTGTTTGTGTCTGTGTGTGTGCAGACACTTAAAGAGGCCAGTGAAAATGCCAGGAAGGATTTCCACCGTGAGGCTGAGCTCCTGACCAACCTTCAACATGAACACATTGTCACTTTCTATGGAGTCTGCGTGGAGAGCGACCCCCTCATCATGGTGTTTGAGTACATGAAACATGGAGACCTCAACAAGTTCCTCAGGCATGGCTCTTTTCTTCATTATATAAGAATGACATCAACATGGCACCTGTTTCTGTTGAAAACTTTACATTCCCTTAAAATGCCATCATGCAAACAGAGGGGTCAATAGACTAAGTTAACTGTATAGTAGATGATAAAATGATGTTTAAAAGGTTAAAAAGTCTAGCAACACTGGAAACGCAGATGACAGGAAACAACATGACAATAACTGAATTAAGATGGACTTTCCTCTTGATCCTGCATAGGGCTCACGGTCCGGATGCAGTTCTGATGGCAGAGGGCCAGACCACCAGACCTGTGGAGCTGACCCAGTCTCAGATGCTGCACATCGCCCAGCAGATAGCATCTGGCATGGTCTACCTGGCATCACAGCATTTTGTGCATCGCGACCTAGCCACCAGGTTTGTCACTTGTGGCCTTAAATAAATAAACACATCACTATACTAGGACATTTATTCAGAACCTCTATATTTTATGGCATACCTGATAATGACAAAGTGAAAACATAGTTTTCTGAACATTTTTACCAATGGAATAAAATTGATAGGATCATGTTTGATCAGTTACTTAACATAATAATTTGTTGGAAAACCACAAATCAACACAGTCGCATCATAGTGGCCAGATTGATGACTGTGTTAATATACAGTCAAGTATTTCTGAACATCTAGAAACAGAAAACAGAAGAGACATGTGATTTTATTATGATCATGTCAATCAATCAGTCAATGGTAGACCACAGATATCTGCTTTTGTGCAGAATATATACTCATGTTTTCTCTACTGGCTACCTATTTGGCTGATATCTTTTTGGGAATGGGTTAGGGTCAGGGGGTTGGAATGGAAGAGGCATGCTGCTGCACTTTCTTCAATGAATTCAGCAGCATCAAACTGCAAATTGGCTAGTGTGTGGAACATTTTAAACTGCCATCAAAACCTTTGTAGGTTGTGATAAATACAGTAGAGGTTAAACAACCTACAGAGTAACTCAATCTTTGTAAAACAAACATTTCTGTTCTTAGTTTGTGTTTGCTCATATTTGTCGTCCAACAGAAACTGCCTGGTGGGTGAGAACCTGCTGGTAAAGATTGGAGACTTTGGCATGTCCAGAGACGTCTACAGCACTGACTACTACAGGGTAGGTGTATGTGTCGATATCTTTTCTGGCCCTTCTTTTAGCCTCCCTCCTCCTTGCTGCATGGGTCCCTCGCTGCTCCTCCCCTGCATGGGCATGACTGACGGACTCTGGCAGAGTTACAGTAAGATGCTTGCTGTGGTGGGTTGATTAAACTGAGTATAGTTCAGTGAAATTGAACATGTTGTGAATAGATGATGTAATTGATTGGAGAGGGGGAAGACGTTGCATGCTTTGTTAAGTGATTTAAGACAGAACAAGTGTAAAATAAGAGCTGTTTATTAAGATAATTACTGCAGCATTTTCTGCCATCAAGGGCCGATATACACCAGTTTTAAATCCAGGAATCTGCCATTCACCGTAGACTTGGCTAGTAAGACAACTGCATGACAAGACACTAAAATTACAAAAAAATTAAATTAAAAACTCCTCCCAAAAAGTATAATGGTTTTTGAAAAATCAATTGGACAGAACAAGATTCACAAAATATGAATCAATATTTTCTTTTGTAGAAAGACCACATTCAATTCAATTGCTTTAGCGTAGCTTCCATAAACAGTAAATGAACTCGGAGACATAAAATAAGAAAAGTTTTGTGTGTGTGCGTGTGCGTGCGCGTGCATGTGTGTGTGTGTGTGTGTGTGTGTGTGTGTGTGTGTGTATATCCAGGGACATTTAGCAGCTCTTCTGTGAGTGTCAAGATAACTCAGCGGTACCAGAGACAGTTTTTTCCTGCTGCACAGTTATCTGTCGGTTTTCCAAAAGGCCGAAATCTAATAAATTGTACTGATTGATTGATAGTGACTGTCCATTTTTCCTGCCCTCTCTCTTGTCCACTGTGACAAACTGACAGCAGCGACAGTGACAGAGAGCTCAGGGGAGGGTGGTGAAAGAGAGAAAGAGGGAGGGAGCAGCCATTCAATGACAAGAAAAATCTCTGTTTTGAAAAAATAATAACTTATTAATAAATAATAACTTAATAACATGCAGAAAGATAACATTGGATGAATGTATAGTTCAGTAATTGCATTGATTGATGCATTTTGTGTTATGGATAAAAGCATGCCTATATTTTTGCCAGAATAATTACTGTTCAGTGCAGTTAAAGAAATACAAAACAAAATTATCTTTATTTAGGGGAGAGGCAGTTTTCTAGATTATAGCTTGCATATAGGCTTCTCTCTCCCTTCATCTTTACCATTTTATAATCACAACTATTGTATTTAAAAATGTAGTAGAAATTATGATCCATATACATGACAGTGGCATGCCAAAATAAGAAAATTCCAGGTATATTTTTCCTGTTTCTCATGATTTGAAAATGATTTTACCAATAGTAGATATTCCAATTTACTCTTATTTTACAGGTAATCATATTTCACAACATGTAGAAAACATTTCATGACCCCAGAGCTAAGCAACAATGTTAAAAAGGTAAAAAAAAAAAATTCAATTCAAAATTTCAAGCAATCTGTGCTCGAATCACATGGAAAAATTACTTTTCGTTAGGATTAAATTTGGAATAACGAGTTGTACATGGCATCAAATTAAATAAAGAAGATTAAGGTCTCTCCTCTTTGGTTTTCTTTTGTACTATCTCTGTGTGACGACACAGCACTCCCCCTTCTCCTCCCCTCCTTCCTTTCACCCCTCCTCAATAAAGCTAAGCGCCGAGGCTGTAGTCATAGCAACGGTTGAAGGCAGTGGCGGTGAGCCTCGGAGTTGTATCCAACGTTTCTCAGGAAGAAAAGTAATCAGAGAACTTCTGTTTAGTATGCTGTGGCAGTATGAGAAAAAGAGAGGGGGGAGAAGGAGAGAGATGAAAGTGTGGGAGACAGAGGCAGGAAGGTGGCAAAGAGACGAAGAGAATAGAAAGAGCTGGAGAAGGAGAGAGATGGAGGGAGCAGCTGAGAAAGAGAAAGGGGGAGGCAAAGGAGTGGGAGGCCAGGGAGGGAGAAAACAAGACGCAAATAAAAATACAAAACGAGTGAAGGCGGTAATAGAGCAATAAAGGAACATACACATGCTGAGGTGGGAGAGGAGAGGTCTGGAGGAGAGGCAGCCCACAGAGAAAACATCGCACAGGATAGTCAGTAACAACCAAACACATACAGGAGCTGCAGCTTCACCCAACCACAGAGCAGGATATCAGAGACACAAGAGACGCAGACAGACAGGGGGGAAACATCAGAGCTGGAGAGGTACAGGATGGTGGGAGGTAAAACACAGTGATCCACCCATATTTCAGCATCCAGGAGAAGACATAGGTGTGTGCGTGTGTGTGTGTGTGCGTGTGTGTGTGTGTGTGTGTGTGTGTGTGTGTGTGTGTGTGTGTGTGCATGTGTGTGGTGTGTGTTGTATATTGTGGTTTATGAGGATGCGCATGTGTGTGTGTGCAATTTGTTTGTGTGTGGCTTTGTAAGTGTGTGTGATGTGATTGTGTGTGTGTGTGTGTGTGTGTGTGTGTGTGTGTGTGTGTGTGTGTGTGTGTGTGTGTGTGTGTGTGTGTGTGTTTGTGAGGATGGTGTGTGTGTGTGTGTGTGTGTGTGTGTGTGTGTGTGTGTGTGTGTGTGTGTGTGTGACGGTGAGAATGGTGTATGTGGGAACCCAGCCATGCTCTTGCGTCAGACAGGAGCAAAGATGAGTCATAGAGGAATTGGAGGCCCCCCCTCAGTGCTTATGTATGTGTTGGTGTAAGGAAATAGAAGCAGAGGCGGTAGGACCGAAGGGGCTGTGGTGACGTCATTGAATCCCCTGTTACACAATGAACCTGACAGATGCTTCAGAAGACAGACAAGGATGCAAAACCACGAGTCTTTCCATGCAGCCTTTTTTTGGTGTGTGTGTGTGTGTGTGTGGGTGGGGCTGGACTTGCAGTTGGAGTTGGGGAGGGTAAAGGCATACAGCACATTTTCTCTCTCTTAACTGATTTCATGCCCAAATGTGTAGGATGGAAGAAAATTAATTGTCTGCTTACGTTTTAACGTCGGAGCCTGACTGTTTTACGCTGCTGACACAGACTGTTGGGAAATGCTGGCAACAAAGTAGAGCTAAACAATCTCTGCAGAGTAATTTGGCTCGTAAGTGTTTTGTTTTTTTTCAAACCATCTATGGGTCCCGATCAGCACAGACAAACAGCATTTTAATGGATCACCTGGAGACGCCAGAGTGGAGCAGTTATCTGTGCAGGAGTGAGCATTCATGTGGACAGGCAAAACACCGTTTGCATGATACACATCAATACAAAGATGATACTCTCAACATTTGATAAAATCTACCATATGGAGCACAATTTCTTCTTGCACATGTTTTTGAAAAAAAGATTTTCCATCATCTATGTATATAGTTTTATTGTAACTACCTTTTCGATTATAGCTATTATTATTCAAATGAAATTATTATTCAAATAAAAAATAACAAAGTGCAGGACACAGGGGAAACCTAAATCAAATGAGTAAAATTAGTATTTGGTGTGACCGCTCTGCCTTTAAAACTGCCTTTGCTTTGGTTGTTCCAAGCATCTTGGAAATCCCAGACTGAATTCATGATGTTGAGATCAGGGCTCAGTGGGGACCAGATCAGGACTTCTTGTTCTTCTTGTCTCTGAAGATAGTTCTTTATGACTCTGTAGTCTTACACTGTACTACAGGATGATGTTTTTTAGTGAGAGATAAATAAATATATTGTGTGTAAGCATTTTACTTATAAGTTCATTGTCTGCATATTTGTGTCTCGAACTGAACAACATTTCCTTACTACGTTAATAACATTATCGAAGCAGCATGACGTGTCCTTGAAAACAAATTTCTGTTGCAGATGAGTTGTATATAAACAAAGCAACATTGTTGAAAAACAGCATGTCATGTCATGTCAACCAACACACACACACACACACACACATACACACACACACACACACACACACACACACACACGCACACACACACACACACACACAAACACAAACATACATATGCAGAGACACTAGCATTCTTGGAAATAGTTTTTTGTTTCCATAGCAACACAAAGGGCAATTAAGGTAGGGTTCCTGTGTAACAAAGAGTAGGTGGAGTTAGTCACCTAGGCCCCTCCTCCTACACTACATCCCATAATGCTTTCTTTTTAACCAGTCCAGTTGCCATGGATACCACAGCCTCCAGCAGGTCACTACAGAGAGCCCACAGCCCTCCTCTGCTTTATTCTTCCTCCTGTTTTAGGCTTTCCTGGAACACTTAGGCAGTGATCTAGCTGGAATGATGCATATTTATAAGACAGAGAGGGAGAGAGAGGGAGACAGGCGGGTTAGAGAGGGTGAGAGAAGGTGAGAACAAGTGAGAGAGAGATGGAAGGGGACAGCAAAGGAGACAAAGACTGACGACAACGCTACTGACAGCAAAGAGAAAGCAGAGATGGGGCTGATGCACCGCCAGTGAGAATCTTTAAAAGCGCTTATTCTTCAGACCTCTCCACTGTAAATTTTTTGTGCCCCCCCCCCCATCAAAAGAAGATTTAATCTGAGGCTTTCCCTTCCTGCTCCTTCATTTGTTTTCTCTCCTCTGTTTTCTCTTTCAATTCATCCTTGTTACAGCCTTGTTGAAGAGACTGCCCTTTTGTTTTCTCCTCATTCTCTCTGTCATACTCTTTAATTCAGATATGCACACACACATACACACACACACATACACACACACACACACACACACAAACACACACACACACAAAGTTAAGAAACAAAAAAAAAAATGTACCACAGCAGTTCAAGAGCCCAATATTAATATTTCAGACCATCAGGGGGAAATGATCAGCAATGATGAATAAAACAAAAAGACTAATGGATATGAGCAGGTTCAGACACATCAGTGAATAATAAATACTGTCAGAAGACTGTCTATAGAACAGAATAGAACAGAGTAGAATCAACAATAGCCATGTCCAAAATCAATATCTATTGTGGTGCTTCATATTTACTGTCTGTCTTTTTATCTGAATTCTGAGTGTCAGATTTACCCACAATACAGAGCTGTCTGGGCCAGGCTCTGTTCTTCAGTAACTCTTAACTATAATTAAACTAACTAAACTGGCATCTATTACAAAAGTTGCAATAAGAAAGTGAAACCTTTGTGATTTTAACAAAGTTTAACAATGATTACTTAGCGAGCACATGAAACTCCCCTTTTAATATCATAACTTGGGGTCGTCTTATCAACACTCTGCTTCTAAAGTAATTTAACACAACTCTGTAGTTGTTTAGCCCACAGATGTATCTATCTAATTTAAACAGGATTTAAAATGGTCCTAGTTTTCATCATTACCAAACGGTACTTTGTGTGTCCCGTCAAATATGTCAACCATGTTGAGAATAGAGTATCTATTATATTATACATGGTGTATGTCTGTGATTTGCATTTGAGGACAGCATCAGATTTTGATTAAGGATATCCAAAGATCCTAAGAAAATGTGCATTTTGTTGTGTAAATAGTGTTGTATGGTGACGCTTCAGTGTTGTCCCTTGCTTGGAAGTTGCTTTGGATAAAAGTGTAAAAGTAAATGTATAGTGTGTTGTAGTGTATTTAGTGTAATGTATAAGCCATATGTCGTCTTTTTTTACAGCATTCTATATTATCATTCTCACACTGTAACCCTTTTACATTGCTTTGGCAGAACTTACCTTCATTATGGACATGCCAATAAAGCACATTTGAATTTGACAGAAACAGGCAAATGTAAATGAGAAACAGACAAACAAGGAGGGAGACGTGGCATTACAGTGAGGAAAACGAGGGCCTGGTTATAAAGAGTAAGAGCTGCGGAGATGAAGGCAGATATGTTTCCCAGGACATACCAGTGAACCTGATGGCTATCTATGTGACCGTGCACATTTTATTACTCCATTAAATAACCCACTGAATAACATAGAAACAGGCCAAGTGTGGATACCAAGCCATTAATAACAGGCATAAACCTCAGAGAATGTATTGTGCTGTCTGTGTGGAGCAATGGAGCGCAGATTGGTCGGTAGATTCATGTTAAGAGAAGGAGTGAGGGTAGAGGGGAGGTTCGGTATGAGAGAGAACAGCATCAGTATACAAGGTTATGTTTCACTCAGCTCTACTTTAAATAGGTTAGGGTTAAAAATTCAAACACTGACGAATTTAACTTTAAGCCCCCTGAACTTCACTGACCTGCCAGAAGGTCCGTCATTGCAAACTCATGCTGTGCAGCAAAACAATGTTCAAACCGTCAAAATGTTATTTTAGATTCTAGTGGAGATCCCACATTTCCTATGATAATCAATATGTCAGGTTGATGAACAGATATGTAGAATGTTTCCTGTTGGATGGCATGACTGTAAACATCATATAGCTTTAATTCCATACTTAAAGCTACTAAGAGGGGAAACTGTGTTAGAGGGTTAAGCATACTGTTTTCTCTGTTTTAATGGCTGAGCGACACTGAGACATAATTAATATGTAAGACACAATAGCTTCTATGCAAACATAGTATTGTAATTACATGATACTTTATGGCTGAGGTGCTCTCTCACCTTTTGTCACTGGTGGAGCATGAAGAGTGTTTCACGCTCGGACCTCTGCCGCAGCATTAACCCGATTCAAGGCTACAGTCACAGTCTGTGGGAGTCTGAAATGAGCTGTCACTGTTTATGAACAGTACAAACATCAAATGAATACGACAATCAAACAGGCTCCAAAGGCTCAGTTCAGATTAGAGAATAATGAAATGACCAATTGTCTCTCAGAGTGCCTGTGAGTTCCTCAGCAGTTGATTTCTGCTTTCTGAGAATCACTGGGACTCATCATATTGTTTGATGCAACAATTAAAATTAATGGGGTCAAAATGTAATTATTTTTCTTACTTGAAATCCACTTGCATAGGACACTAGCAGTACACATACTGTATTCTGCAATAGTTTATTCTGGCTCACGCATTTTATAGCATACATTTGATTGCTTTCCTCAAATGTTTTTTCTTTTTCTTTTGATCCATCGGCTGATTACACACTTTCTATTTATCTATTTATCCTCTAAACAGCTATGACTGCGCATGTGAATGGGTGAATGTGGCTTGTAGTATAAAGCACTTTCAGTGGTCACTGAGACTAGAGACTAGAAAAGGGCTATATACTGTAAGTGCAGTCCATTTAATAGTGATGGGTGGCCAGTAAATTAGTGCATATACCCTCTTCGTTTTAGGGACTGTAAAAAGCAATACTCGCTCGATCTTCTGTTAAATAAAAGTATGCTCATCAGAATTGAGGTGTGCTACAGTCAGGGAGATGATGGAATCTACTACGCCATACCACCAAACCTTACTTATTTAAATGCCTCAGGCAGCAGTTTGGAGGAATGAAATGTTTGCAGCACCATTTTAAAATGTATTGAAATTTCTGAGTGAACCTTGGTGAGAAATGTGAAAAGCTGCGTGACCGTGCATTCGAAATGCATGATGCCTCAGAATAAAAATGAAAAGAAGAGACTTGAATATAGAGTGGTCATGTCTGTCAGAGGATGGGATGACTCTGAAGATGCTTAACAGCTCGCACAATCTTTATTCTGTCCTCTGTTCACTCTACGCTATACTGACTTTACACTCTCTCTCTCTCCTTGTTTGTTTGTGTGTGTGTGTGTGTGTGTGTGTGTGTGTGTGTGTGTGTGTGTGTGTGTGTGTATGCGTTAAAAGGTCGGAGGTCACACCATGCTGCCAATCCGCTGGATGCCCCCTGAAAGCATCATGTACAGAAAGTTCACCACGGAAAGTGATGTTTGGAGTCTAGGAGTCGTTCTCTGGGAGATCTTCACCTATGGAAAACAGCCTTGGTACCAGCTCTCCAACAATGAGGTACAGAACACAATACAGTCACTTATTATAAATCTGACACCTCTATAAACACCTCTAAACACACCAGCAGACAGCATTACTGATCCATCACAACAAAACATTAGTGTAGTGAAAAGTACAAAGCAGAAACTTTATGTAAATGTTCCCCTGGAAGCACTTTCAGCTTAATAAGTAATGGCAAACAACATGTTGCAGCCTGCAGATATGAGGAAACAGCCCTTTGGTAAAAGTAAATTTAAATATTTGATCAATTGTGTGAGCAGTTTTCTCATAGGTATACATTTTGTGAATCCTTTGGCCTGAGTCACCTCATTATATAAAGGTAAGGCACATGGCTTAGAAACTTGATAAGTTGTTTATCATTTTGTGATGTCTTGAATTAATTGTAAGGTAAGACGCAGAGCTGGGGAACCAGGTTTTGCTGGTTTTGCTCTAAAGCACAGAAGCTGTCTGGCATCGCTGTCAGGCTGGTGCAGGAGCAGATGTGTCTTGTGTTTTGAGTGGAAAGGCTTTTTTTTGAAAAGGACTCACAATATATCCCCTTCTTTTTTCTGACATGGATCACGCTGAATTTTGTGGTCTGGTGGCACTGCTGCAACTAAGTGTCTGTTCTTTTTTGCTCAGGACAAAAGCTTTGTTCCCCAAGTGTCGTTTTACCAACAGCGAACAGTGACACAGCCAGTAGATTTTGTTCTAAATAAGAATCTCCACTAAAACCACCTAAAACTGAGAAAATGAACCAATATGGGAGCCAAAGGTGGAACCAGTGACTGTTTGACACTTTTGCTAAATTATCTAAATAATTAACCGTTTATCAAGACAGTTGCCGTTTAAACCCACTAACAAGAATTATTGGCCTGCCTGTTGATTAGTTACCGTGATACAGACTCATACTCAGCAGCCAAACATGTTTTTAACTCACGTAACTTAAACTTAAATTCCACTGAAGAGGCTGAACCTTGGGCAAAATGTGTAAAAGTGATGCAGAATACTGTATATTTAAAGTAAAGAATTTTCATTGATTTGCACCTGTACAAAAAACCTCCTGCTTTTGACAATTTCAGTCAGTGTAAACATCATAAGAGCTGGGACAAGCTGTTTGAGAATATATCTGATGCTGAAATAAGATGATTGTAATTCACTGAAATTACATTAGATTACTGACATAACAGGAAACCAAATCCCTCAATTTGAAATGCCGTATTAAATGCATTTCTTATTATGCATTAGATTAATAAGTAAACAATTGGCTGTCGCCTCTGAATAATTAATAACTCTTACAAATCTTCCCTTCACTACACCCAGGGTCTTGACCCAGTTACCAGGAAACACAGCTGCATCAGAGCCTTTCAACCCTTCACCTTAACCTTAACCTCAACAACATGAACCGCCTTAGGACCAAAATTAACCTTTAGCCCCTTCCACCCTTTTCTTTATCATTTATATCTATCAGATTTCTGCTGATTCACAGTTCACTCACCTCCTGACCAAAATTCGAGGCTCAGATATCTTCTAAACAGGATATGGGCTTTTGTTTCAAAATGAGATTTCCATTTTATATCGACTTTCACAAACTGATTCCCAGTTAGTAATGGCTTGGCAAAAAGATAATAATCTTACTGATCGGATCATTAATAATGTAGATGGTAATCTTCAGGTATTACAATGTTTTTTTTCAAAATGGTTATTTAGCAATTTAGAAGACACAGGTGCTTTTTGGGCGCTTAATAGAAGCCGATAATTGGTATTCATTCCACACACAGCAGGGTGTATTTAATGTCTGAGGAAATTATAAAATGCTTAATTATATTACAGGCAAATAACAGTATAGATATTTTCCAAACTGCTGCCAGAGGATGATATATTCTCCCTGTACTGAGGAGAGCTTTCCTCTGCATACAGCAGCTAGGTTTCAAAAAAGTGTCAGATTCTTGATCCACAAATCTTCATCCTAAAGGAGATTTAAAGCTCAAAACTGTATTTTTCTTTTCATTTATATATAAGAAAATATATCAAGTTTGCTGAGACGCTACATTCGTTGTACAGTTTATGTAGGTAAATCTATAGGTGGAGACTTTACTGTCACACAGTTATTGAGGAATTGCATCGGATTTGTCTGGATGACTGCTCCAGTGCAGTGTAATTTCATCAATTCAGTAAATAATTTATTCACTCTGACATTCTCACTGTGCACCACTGCAGGTGAAGCAGCTTTACCAAGCAGATGCTCCATCATCTTCACTGGAGTTTGAAAATGCAGAAAGTTATAGATTTCAGCTTGAATTTTTTTTTCTTTTCTCTTCTTTTGCAACAGAGGGTCAAGATTACGGCTGACATCAAACCTGAGGTCTTTCTTTTCTCTCTGTCTGTTTCTTCCTCTGTAGGTGATAGAGTGTATAACCCAGGGCCGGGTGCTGCAGCGCCCCAGGACCTGTCCTAAAGAAGTCTACGACCTGATGCTGGGCTGCTGGCAGAGAGAGCCACACATGAGACTCAACATCAAAGAAATCCACGGCTTGCTCCTCAACTTGGCTAAGGCCTCGCCTGTATACCTGGATATACTGGGCTGAACGCAGGCGGAGGACGGAAGAGAGTTATGAGTGTGTGTGTGTGTGTGTGCGTGTGTTTGTGTGTGTGTGTGTGTGTGTGTGTTTGTGTTTGTGACAGAGAGATATGTCTGTTAAGGTGGGGATGGTTACATCCAAGTGTGTATGCACATTTGAAGTTGCATGTATGCATGTGTGTGTGTGTGTGTGTGTGTGTGTGTGTGTGTGTGTGTGTGTGTGTGTGTGTGTGTGTGTGTGTGTGTGTGTGTGTGTGTGTGTGTGAACATGGTGATACCTCTGAATGAAGTTTGTGTGTGTGCAAGGTACCGCTGTACAGGATGTGAAGCTATTATCAAACTCTAAAAGGCAATCAAAAAGTTCTTCAACTCGTCCCCAATCGTTTCTGTCCTCCCTACCAATTTCCTCTCCTTTGTGCACCTCTATTCCTTCCCTCCTTCCTTCCCGAAGAGACATTTACTAAGAGTAATTTAACTTTGGAGGAAAAAAAAGCTTCTCACTTCTTTTCAAATGCTTTAAACTGACTGGGGCTAAACTGATGAAACCTGATTAACAGGACTTTAAATTTAGTGACTCATTCGTCGCTGCCTGTCGGACAACAGGACCCGTTTGAACATCCGGAAATGTCAAGGAGGCGCAGCGTGGGGGAGGATGTCCAGAAGCTTCAATCCTTTGCGTGTAAATATGAGACTGAACGGCAGTGAGACATTTCAGAGGAAATGGCTCTGTGAGATGTCGAGCCATAAACACACTGTGTTTTCCCCTCTCACCCTGTCTTGTCTGTTTGTCCTTTCTTTCTGTCTGTCTCTCAGAACTGTACACGAGTATTAATGTGAACATTCATCCAACATGGCTTGCGGGAAAGACTACACAAGTGACGATTAACATACCGGTTAACATACAGTAGATTGACTGTAACAGAATAATGACCAAAACAACAGGAGGGAAAGTAAACACAATCTGGTTTTGTTTCTGCCTGTCAGATAAAATCAGGAGGTGAGATTGGATGATTTCTGGTTGGCCAATTTCACTGATTACAAAAAAAAAAAAAAGCAACAGCAGCAACAAAAGACTAACAATACAGTGTCAACTGAGGCTTAACTGAGCTGCTGTGGTAAAATAATTATTCAGAAAGAAGGCAAAGGTATTCTACTATACTGTAATGATGAATATTAGAAATGTAAAAAAGCTCTACAATATCTCCTCATGCAACAGATTGTCATACATGATTTTAAGGATATATGCACTCATATCTGCATACTGCATTTTACCATTGTTTTCTTTTACATATTACTTTGCTAAAGCCTGGGCTGCACTGTCATACAGAACAGGGTAACACGATAACTCCCCCCCCCCGCCCGCCCCCCGCCCCCCTTCACCCACCCACCAAAGTGACAGATGCTTCACTTGTGATGTCAAGCGCTCGTGTCGGAGGTCAATTGATTCATTTGTCCGCAGCTGCTATTGCAAGGCCTTGGTGTTGGGGGTGGGGGTGGCGGGGTGGGGGTATTGGGGGTGTAAAGGTTGCTAAGGGAGGTTGGGTTTTGAATGGTCAGATCACGGTCAGATGTGTGGGCGACGGTGCTGTAGAAGGTGTGGTTCATTTGGTCAACCCATATTAAATCATCAAGGCTCTCAGCACTCAGACATCCTTGAAAACCACATCTGTGCTAGAGGGGACGCGCGCACACACAAACACACACACACACACACACACGCACTGTATACCTTATCCTGTCATCCCTCCATCTCCACAAACACACACACACACACACACACACACTGAAAGACACTCAAAACGGGCTGAGAAGGAAATTGAATTGTGCATGTTTTATTATTTGAGCGGTGCAGTGCTTTAGCCAGGGCCCGTCCTCTGTAATGGTGTAATGTATATTTCATTACAGCCTAATGGGCTCCATTAGCACAGTCTCCTCACAGACATTCAAGACTTATTGTTTTATGGCTGAGAAGGAAGGATGGAGAGGAGTAGGAGAAGAAAACAGAGAGAGGACTGAGGAGCGGTGGAGAGGAGAAATAAGAGGAGAGGTAATAACGCATATTGGGGAAGAAATGGGGAGAAAGGGAGAGAGCTCAGAACAGAAGCAATGGGGTAGAAAGGAGAAGATGGTGGGAGAGAAAAGGTAGGAATGGGTCATCTAGAGAAAAGACGAAGGAGAATGAGAAGACAGTGGAGTGAAAAAAGGACGGAGAGGGAGAGAGAGGAGGTGTGAATGTCCTCAGGGACAAAGTGAGAGTGAGCATCCGTCATTACTGCGGCCTGCAGATGTTCTAATAAACCACAACTTCAACTTCACACTCCCGTCACATTCCTATGGCTGCCCTCAACCACACACACACATTCTCCTCACACATTTTACTGGCAGTCCACCAACAGCTTAAACTGAAAATGAACTCAATAATGCACCACACATCCCCATGATGGAGAACCACTTCACTCACTTACGGTACAGCTCACATATCTGGTCAAACGCTGACAGACACACTGTATATACAACAGCTCACATGCATGCAACGAAACACATTTAATGTTTGTTTTTGCGTTTTACTGGGGCATATTTTACTCTTTACACACATATTGAAAAGTCATAATCACTGCAGTTTCACTAACAGCCATTTGAATTAGATGTAACACATCAATCTGGAATTATAAGTCTTATTTGTTTATTAACAACGGCACTTGATGGTATTGATGTTTGTGAACTTGAAAATGATGTTGATTTTATTGATTTATAGTATTATTATTTATAAATTAAGAAGCATTTTGTACATTTCTTTCTATATCTAAAGTTGCCTTTTGCAACAACAAACTGATTGAAACTGAACACTGGTTTAATCGATTATGTTTTAGCAAATGTGTAAGATAATCTTGAGTGTATATGTATTTTTACGTCAGGCTCCCTCTTAACAGCTACCTAGTCTGTCCTCATGTACACTGTACACTCTACAACAGGGATGGATGTTTCACCAGTCTGTCACATTTGTAGATTTAGTTTGCCATATTGCAAAATTATTGTCACCTGTCAGCGCATGAATTCAAGAGGTAACGGCTGCAGCATTGCCGGTGCAGGCTAACAGGGTCTCCAAATCCATCCCTGCTGTATAGTACAGTAGAGTTTGCACTGAGTCAGCACACTCGACTCTATTCAAAAACTTGCCACACAATATCTCTGTGCAATAACAGAGGGCAGGGCGTGTGAGGGCCTGTGTGTGAGCTGGAAAAAACTGTGAGAAACGAACACAGTACGAACGACTCAGATGTCAAAAGAGTAGAGTACCTGCTGTTTCCTTTTTTTTTTCTTCTTTTTTTTTTCTTTTTTTTTTAATAATGAACTGTGTCAAGTTGGATGGCAGTGATTTTTTTGACAGTTCAAGGAAGAAGCTGTGAGAGGGATGTTTGTTATGATGAAGACTTGTCAGCACAACGCAGGAGCGATCTGTGAACTGTTAACATAACTGTGGCTGAAGATGGGCTGTCGTTGAATCCATGCCTCTGATCAAAGGTACTGGTCAAACACAGGAAGAAAAGGAGGAAAAACAACAACTGCTGTATGAACGGATATCTCAGAAAAGGAGGGACTGACAATCACAGACTTCTCTCTTTCTCTCTCTTATTCAAGTGACCTACTGTAAAATAGACTATTCAACCAACTTTCCTCTTCTATGCTGCCTATACTGTACGTGATAGTCTTAAACTTTGGTCTCTAGAAGTGCTACTTTTTCTTTTCTTTTTTATTTTGTAAAATGAAATAACAGCGAGAGGAATGAACAAAAATACATGTACAAATGTGAATAAGCTGCTGAAAGAAATAAGCGTCGCTAACTGCTGTGTCCGAGACTGTGTCAGTATCTAGATTGTACTCTTTTCTTCTTTTGTCTTAGAAGTGGAGGGCAGAGAATTGGGAAGCTGCATGGGGCTCACAAATACACAAAATGACATACAGCAGCCCCCGGGATGCAGAGCGATGTTTGCTCATTCTCTCGGCGGTGTGTTTGTGTGTGTGTGTGTGTGTGTGTGTGTGTGTGTGTGTGTGTGTGTGTGAGTGTGTGTTTGGAGAAGGCTGATTGATGCCAGAGTGAGTCAGGAGGGATCCGTAGGCTGGGTTCAGACTCAAGCGAAATCCTTGTTCAAATGCAAAGAGATTCACCGGAGGAATCAGGGACTGATTTGTTGTCGCTGTTCACAGATTCATGATAAATGACTTTACCTAGGTGTGTAGGTTTGAGGTTGGTATTATGGCAGCTAAGATTTATGGAATCACTCAGTTGTTTTATTTATGACTCAAAAATCAGCCTTCTTCTCTACACAATTTACAAAAGCCTAGGTTTCACAGAAATATATGAGCAATATTTACAGATATTTTCCGTTGCCTATCTCCTTACTGTAAATGAGTTTGGTCTAAATCATGTGATTCATTGGACTGGAACATATCTCACACATAGTCCAGATACACGTCACGACTTAAGGAGTATTATTATCCATATCACATTTACTCCCCTCTCTCTCACAACACTAACATCACAGTCTAAGCTAAGAGAGCTGAAATATCATAAAGGTCATCTTTGAGATTACCTGCGTGCTTGGATGCTTGTGAAGCCCTGAAGAATGTAATACCACAAAAAAAAATGCTTCTCTGCAAAAAACAAAACAGAAAAAAAACAGAAAAAGAAAAAATGAAGCCAATTTTGCTATATGCAGTATCTCTGTTTTTCAGTACCAGATTTTTTTTTGATTCTGTGCTATTTGTCTCTGTGTTTAAAGGGTTTCACTGCTGCCACCGTGGTAGAAAAAAAGGAGGATTTTGAATGTTTTGTGGATGTTTGGATTGTAAGAGGCTTAAAATAGGACAAAGGACAAAAAACGCTAGAAGGTTTCTGTATTAAAAGAGATGTTAAAATGTTATTTCTATACCTAAAAATACTCTTCAAAATGTTAGAAGCAGCTGTACCTATTGCAAAACACACAAGGTAATTAAAAGCTGGAAATA